CTTGATGAACCTTGGCCAGAAGATGTTCGACTTCCCACAGTCATCGTTTCATGCATACCAAATAACAGCATTGGGTCAGGCTTGTCACCTCACCTTACGCTCCCTGACGCATGGCTGGGGAGCCGAACAGGAGGCATCGTGATTGAACTGGGATACACCACCTTGAATACATCTTTACTTGAACAGGTGAGGGAGAAGTCCAAGGCGTGGATTACAATGGACGGTATGGATGTACTGCCAGAACAGGGGTTTGCTCAATTTGAATTCTACACGGGGAGGAGACCGCCTCGGAAGATTATGAGGCGCGCGGTTTTGGAATCGTTCGAAGAGGGGAGCCCCAAACCTGAGGCTATGCAGTTGCGATTGATGCATGTTGACCACCAGGAACAGTATTAAACTAAATATTATAAAGAGACTGGTCCAAATATTTGAGTAACTTGCTCCCTATTTATTTCAATTGCCATTGCCATTTCCCCAGCCTTCACCTCGCGTCCACTTCCCCATAATCCCCCACTGCAATAGCCGCAACTCGGAATCCGTTCACATCCGTAGTTCTTCGGAAGAGGTTTTATCCTGCATTTGGGCCTAATTAACTTCACCGGAATTGCGTCGTGGATTGATTCCCCACCCGTTCCGATTCGTTCTGGGGCCGTTCAAATTATATCGCTGATGTGTCATTCTTGTGACAAAGGTATAATCGAGCATACTCAATCTGCGACCAGTCAGAAAGTGACTTATAGCACGGGAAGAACAAGCGTGGAATTGGTTCCCGAAACCAAGGTACCAGATATTCATAAAATACATAACTGTTGTCAAACTACACCAACATTCGATCCCGTAATGATAAATGGGAAGTATTGTATTTCTATTCTACTCTGGCAGGTCCATTGTGTTGAGATGTCGGGTCTGGCATCTTTCATTGCTGTTTTTACCTTTATACTCGAACTCTCTTCCGTCCTACGCTGGCACGATGAGACCGTTGACAACCTTCAGGTGGCAGTTCTGACGCTTTGCCTCTTTCCAAGCCTCTTCTTCTTGTACTTGCTTGGCTTCCTCCTCTGTTATCAGAACAAAATCATACCGTAGCAGCTTTGTGTCCGGTGATACTCCATATTTATCTGCCAGACCTTCAACATCCCCGACTTTACCAAGTTCGATTACCAGAGAATCCTTGACACCAAATACGGCGTCCGAAGTCTCGAAGGGGTCGCCCCGTAGGTAAAGAGCTCTGCAAACAGTCAGTATATGTTTCGAAGAGTTACGCTAAGCACAGCAGGGTTTCATTCAAACGCACGTAATGAGTCGATCAAAGCCCTCCTTTTTGAACATGAAATGCATGTGGCTTGGGCGATAACAATGGCGGTTTAAGCGCTCCAGAAGCTTTCCGACCGGCCCATCATTAGGGATGGGATAGGGCACAGGAACAATAGCCTTGAACTGGATTATTCCGTTTTCGTCGCTTTCCACAATAGCCCGGCCGTCGGGCGTGGTGCGGTCCTCATATTGCACATCGTAGAACCCCTTGGAGTCTGTTTCCCACACGTCGACCGCCACATTTGGGATCGGCTGCCCTTTTGTATCTTTGACAGTACAGAAGGCAAATAGGGGCTCGCCTTCCGGGTCGTGAGAGATTTGGTGGCCATGCTCCACGTGGTGCGCGTCCAGAGTATGGAACGGGCCGAGGACTGTTCCCTCGGTTGAGTTCTTAAGTTTGGGATGGTTGATCCCGTCGACTAGCAGCGATAAACCAAGAACGTCTGATAGAAGAACGAATTCATGGCGAACATCAGTGCTGATCTTGCCAACGTCGACAAGAAATTCAATAGCCTTCTCCCACTCAGCAACACTGAGTCGTGTTTCCCTCGCAAAATCATGTAGGTGGTTCACCAGTCTCTGAAGGAGAAACTGTAATCTTGGATCTGGGCATTTGGAATTGATTGTGTGAACATTATCAGTGATGTTCTCAATGGTTAAGTCCTTCATAGGAGGAAGATCAGGTGGTGTGTGTTGTTTTGGCGGCATCTTGGTCTGAAGATTGACTAAAAGATAAAATGGGGAAAGGTAGGCTAAACGACCGGGAAAGGGCAGGATACACGAGATGAGGAATGATAGATGAAGTAACCATTTGCTGAGGCTCCAAGGCTGATCATTTAAACCGACGGTCCAATAATCTGCTCCGAGAATTGACTTTGGTCAGCAGAACCACGGCGCCACTCGAGGATGCAGCCCCGTGGGGAATGAATCGTGCCAGACTGCTAGTGTGCTTCTCCGGCTGAAATCTTTGCCGCCTCTCTACATCCGAGTCCTGGTATGATCTCATTTATCCTACGACTCCCTACGGAATGGTCTGATTCGAGAAATAAAGCTCCGGTTACGGGCTGCTATAATGGTTCAAATTGGCAAACGACTCTTCCATTCCAATCCACTAGTCCGGAGCGCTCTCAGTCACGTATCAAGATTAACCATGGAGGCCTTCGAATATCAGTCAAATCCCAGCCGAATCGTCTTTGGCACCGGGACAATTCAGAGAATCCCTGATGAGCTCAAGAGACTTGGGTTCTCCAAGCCGCTGGTATTATGCACACCCCAACAAACCTCGCAGGCCAAGTTGGTTAGTGAGATCTTGGGAGGCAAAACCGCCGGAACCTTTACAGAGGCAACCATGCACACTCCCACCGACGTCACGAACAAGGCTGTCCAGTTTGCCAAAGAGCTAGAGTGCGATTCTCTTATATCAATTGGTGGTGGCAGTACTATTGGTCTTGCGAAAGCCATGAGCTTCCGTACTGGCCTGTATCACTTGGCAATACCAACAACCTATGCCGGAAGTGAAGTGACTCCCATTCTAGGAGAAACTGAAAATGGCCGCAAAGTAACGAAGACACATCCTAAGATTCTGCCAGGAACGGTCATCTATGATGTCGATCTTACGATGACCCTGCCCGTTACCCTTAGCTCAACGAGTGGAATCAATGCTATTGCACATGCCGTTGAGGCTCTCTACGCTCGCAACGGCAACCCAATCATTAACCTGCTCGCACAAGAGGGTGTGAAGGCTCTAGCTGAGGCTTTACCTGAGGTAAAAAAGGACCCTCAATCAAAAGAAGCTCGATCAAAGGCATTATACGGCGCTTGGCTCTGTGGTACTTGCTTAGGCAGCGTGGGCATGTCCCTTCATCACAAGCTATGCCATACTCTTGGTGGAACTTTCAATCTCCCCCATTCAGAAACGCACACAATAATTCTCCCTCATGCCTTATCTTACAACGCACCAAAGATTCCATCCGCGATGGCTTCGTTGGCAAAGGCTTTCCCTGGGTGCGATGGAGATCCTATCAAAGGCCTGAACACGCTCTTGGACACATTGGAGGTCAAGCGGGATCTCAAGTCTTTTGGGATGAAGGGGGAAGATATCACTAGGGCTGTGGAGATTGCGTTGAGTAATCCTTACTGGAATCCTCGGGAGATTGAGAAGGCTCCCATCCAGGAGCTGATTCGTCGTGCATGGGCAGGCGAGGATGCCAAGGCAAACCTCTGATATATAAACCAATGAAAACCTTCCATTATGAATCATGATTCTAACCATCATAAAATGAGATTTAATACTTGCATTGCGACCCTTCCACTGCATGGTTTGCCGAATACTGCCCCAGCATCCCGGCTTTGCTTCATATTATTATCGCTAAGTATCAGTAGCCGTTTTACGGATCTCGGAGGAAGCGAATTGGGGTGAATGAGGGATGCCTGTGACGGTCAACCGCATACAACCTAGTTTCACAGCCCTGACTCGTACTCCGGGTAAATGCTATCCCTCCTGAGATGATGCCTGAGACGAAATTCTAGCCCTTTCTCCGCTAGCCCTCGTAGTATCTCCATCCCCCCCGCAGTGTCCCCCCGCAATTTCCCCCGCAGCTGAATGAAGGAGTGAGGAACCCCAATCCACGCAGGATATGTGTTTATCCGACCTCCTCCGTCTTTCCGTACATCCGGAAATGGAGGCTGGTTGTGTGTTTGACCAAAAACATGTAGGCCGTAAAAGAGTAGATCTCGAGATGGGAAATGTGTAGGTCGTTTGCTGTACACGTGTAGAAAGTCTATGGAATCACGAGTTCGTGAACTTGTCTAACAAATTACTCATCGTGCCCGATACACACTCGCCCGAAGAGAACACCTGATCTACAAGTGCCATCTGTAATAATGACCGTGATCATTTGGTAATCGAAAGGCTAAAACTTCGTGAGCTTCTGGAGGAATGGCCTTACTACAGGGTAGCAAAAATCCGAAGAAAAAGTGGTAAAACTCAGCAGGTTGTTGCTGATGTGTCTCTCTTCCTAGAGATTGATGTAGAAGCTGATTTCAGATTCCACTTCTTTTCGAAAAGATCGCAGTTCGTTGTGGTGCTTGCTTCGTTTGACATTGGTATGGGAAAGACAAGGTTATCCCTATTAATCCTGGAAAGAACCCGAAGCTGGATCAGGAGAAGCTAGATGTCTACCCTGATGGGTAGAAGTGTCTTGCATATTACTATGAGATCGTTATGAGTATTAAGTATCACTGTATATAAGGATTTGCTTGGTCACCGCCGGCACATTGGGACATTATCCAGCAAAAAGCACGACTTACTACCTGTATTCAGGCAAGTTAAGGACTGGTTGGGTGGTAATGATAATGGGATTTCTTTTTTATAATATGACCTATATTACTCAATGCCATTTTTATGAGCTAGTCACACTTCTATTTATGACCATGAAATACCCTATCTGATCTATCTCTCTGTTCTATATCTAACCTCCCTTTGGCGGGGCCCTTAATAGTTGTATCAACACGGCACTTGAACATCAGACTTTTCTCAGTCTGATGATAGCATTCGATTGATGAGAGCCTCCAACAGAATGCTCTACCAAACTAATCGCCAGGATGCCGCCGCTCCTAGGGCATCCATTGAACGGCAAGAGACATGTTAGGAAGACAGCAACCATTTATTAGAATCTACTGCTATGCTATTCCCGTACGAAAACGCCGGCCATGCCCATACCAGTACCCACGCACATGCTGACAACACCAACTCGGCCGTCAGTCCTTTCAAGACCATGAAGAAGAGTGCTCACCATACGAGCACCGGTAGCTCCAAGAGGGTGACCGAGAGCGATGGCCCCGCCGTCAGGGTTGACCAACTCCTTCTCCCAGGCCTCTTCCAGGCCCAGCTCACGAAGACAGTGAATGCTCTGACTGGCAAATGCTTCATTGATTTCCCAGCGGTCTACATCGGCATTGGTAAGGCCTAGCTGCCCGAGCAAAGCCGGAATGGCAAGAGCAGGGCCTATGCCCATCTCGTCCGGTCTGCACCCTACAGTTTTGGCAGACACATACTTGCCGATAATTCGGTCTGATAACCCGAGGGCGGTGGCAGTGCTTCGGCGCATGAGTAAAAGAGCGGCAGCACCATCGGAGATTTGTGATGAGTTTCCCGCCGTGCTGGCGCCGTCCTCCTTGAACGGCGATTTCAGCTTTGCCAGGGCCTCTAGACTGATACTGGAGCGGATTCCATCGTCCTCGGTGACGCGTATATTCTTAGGCCCGTCTCCAACATTAGCTCCTTGCTTATCCACCTCTTGTATGAATGTGTCGACGGGAACGATCTCCTTTTGAAAGTGGCCGTTCTGGCGTGCCCTGGCTGCGCGGCGATAGCTTTCTGCCGCAAAGAGATCCTGGTCCTGCCGAGATATGCTGTAACGCTCTGCTACGTTCTCAGAAGTGAGACCCATAGGCATAATGCAATCCCTCGCGTCACGGACAGGACTTTCTCGGAGGGCAGGCCATATGTCAGTGGGGATTGCCTTGCTGCCGTAATTTCGCGTCATGCTTTCCATTCCCGCCGCCACTCCTGTGCTGATCATCCCCGTGACGGTCTGTGATCCGACCAGAGCAATGGCTTGCAAGCTGCTTGCGCAAGCTCGGTTGACCGTGTAAAGGCTGGTGCTGGTGGATTGTATCTCTGGGATGTGGTTGACCGCCATTCGTGCCGCCTTGCTGCCGCCGAGTTCTGACAGCACAACGCCGACTGCAATATCCTCAATGACGGCAGGGTCTAGAGTGGGGGTGTTTTTTAGAGTGGCTTTGACAACAGTGTGTAGAAGCACTTCTGGAACTAGGATAGATCTAAGCTAGGATAGAACTAGGATAGATCTAAGTTAGGAAATTGACTATGTTATTATTATGCTCTTCTGGATATGTGTTCTTGAGATTGCCTTTGTACGATCGGCATATTGGCGTGCGCAGAGCAGAGAGAATGACAGCATCGTTCGAAGATTTAGCCAATATGGCTTTGAGCCCCCGAGAAGAAGCCATAGCTGTATGTTGGATAATGACCAATGGACAAAATAATAGCAAGTTGGTTAATTGGAGTACAAAACGCTGCCAGGCGTATCGGAGGCTGACGGACAGCACACCCGAATATGAACTTTGAGTTAGAGTGGATTTCTCAGCTCACCAAGAGACTTGGCGATTTCTAGTTAACGCTTTTTCGGTTGAGCTACTAATTAGCCTCCTTCCCGGTATCTGCTTTCCGAGTAAATCAGTAGGTAGAGGGGTTCCAGATGCTCCTGTTACCCCAGAACGCTAGTTGAAGCGCGCGGTATCGGGGTAGCGCAGGCCCAACAGAAACCTGGATATATCCTTAGCCGGCCTCTCCTCGTTGAATTCCGGATGTACCCGCAATCACTGCTGGGAACCCTTTGTCTATCAATAAGTAAACTAATTAAATCTACAATATGAATTCGATTTGTGGATTTCCTTGTTCGGTTGCATAAGCTGCATATCTTGTTATCAAATTAATTTCTTTGCAATGTTTACGAAAAGCACCCTGAGCGCCACGATGCGTTCGATGTCTAGACCTAATCAACTATCCAGTCAGTGCATGGTGAGAGCGCTCAACTCGAACCACAACGTCGGTGTTAATTACTGACCAAACTCACCACGAAGCAATTCATATTCACGAGGGGCTTTGCCGCGTCAACCCGACGCCATGCAATCAACAAAGTCTTCCCCTCCGTTAGTGAAGCTCTCAAAGACATGAAGAGCGATTCCACTGTGTTGTGTGGAGGCTTCGGCCTGTCTGGTGTACCCAACACTTTGATTCAAGGTGTTCTCTCGAAACCTGACATCGGGGGCCTAACTGTCGCATCGAACAATGCCGGCACGGATAACGCCGGGCTCAGCAAACTGATCAAATCTCGACAGATCAAGAAGATGATCTCCAGTTACATTGGAGATAACAAAACCTTTCTCGACGCCTTCTTGACGGGGAAGATTGAGGTTGAGCTCACGCCCCAGGGGACACTTGCAGAGCGCTGCGCGGCCGGCGGCAAAGGTATCCCGGCGTTTTATACTCCTGCAGCCACCGGGACCATTGTCCAAACAGGAGAATTGCCATTGAAGCATAGTGAGAATGGGGAAGTTCAGCAATGGAGTCCCCCAAAACCTGTGGCCGTATTCAACGGCAAGCAATATTTATTAGAAGAAAGCATCAGCGGCGACTACGCGTTCGTCAAAGCCTATAAGGCCGACCGGCTAGGAAACTGCCAGTTCCGCCTAGCAACACAGAATTTCAATGGTGCCATGGGGCGTAATGCCAAAACCACAATTGTCGAAGCTGAGCATATCGTTGAACCTGGGGAGATCGCTCCAGAAGCTATTCACCTACCTGGTATCTATGTGAAGCGCGTGATCCAGAGCACAGAGGAAAAGGGGATCGAGAAATATACATTTACTAAGGATGCATCCGATCAGACTCAGGTCCTTGGCCTAGGCGAGACCGCTGCCAAGCGCGAAAGGATTGTGCGCCGAGCAGCCAAAGAATTCCAAAACGGCATGTATGTCAACCTTGGGATCGGAATGCCAATGCTCGCTCCAGCCTTTGTATCTCCTGATGTCGAAGTGCAGCTACAAAGCGAGAATGGCATCCTAGGCCTTGGCCCTTATCCTCGCGAGGGTGAGGAGGACGCAGATCTCATCAATGCCGGCAAGGAAACAGTGACTCTTAGTCCTGGTGCCTCCGTTTTTGGCTCCGAGGAAAGTTTTGGAATGATTCGAAGCGGCCGTATTGATCTCACGCTGTTAGGTGCGATGCAAGTCAGCGCTGTTGGCGATTTGGCCAACTGGATGGTACCAGGCAAAATCAAGGGGTTCGGCGGTGCGATGGATCTTGTCAGCAACCCGAGCGAAACGAGGGTCATTGTGACGATGGAGCATACGGATAGAAAGGGCAACCCGAAGATTGTCAAGAGCTGCAACTTGCCGCTCACTGGTAAATCCTGCGTTTCGAGAATCATCACCGACTTAGTAAGAAAGCTTTCCGGCCTCTCTATAGTATGTCAAATCGTGATACTAATATTATCATAGGGTGTCTTCGATGTCAAGCCTGGACAGGGCCTCACTTTGATTGAGATTGCCGATGGTGTTACCGTTGATGAGGTCAAGTCAAAGACAGAAGCGCCCTTCACTGTTGACTCTTCTTTAAAACCAATGCTTTAAAGCCCAAGTTACTTCAATCAAGACTTAATCTTACCCAGGTGGTAGTATAAAATTACATTAAAAAAAATTCGGGTTTCTGAAAGTATTGGAAATTGTCAACTTGAATATTTATATTCGTAGTCTAGCGTCGGGATGAAGGTATTTTCATGATTTACATTCTCCGTAAACATGCTCTTCAAATTGAATTGTCAGAGCCAAGACGAAAACGGTGCCAGTCTATATATGCGCTTATTTACTCTAAAATGCGAACGCTCAGGTATTAGTTTCTTCTGCTGGCAGCCGAACCACCTAGCAGATAATCCGTAGATCTTCGTTCCTCTTCATCCTCTGAAGCTCGAACACCATTTTGTTGGGCAGCAGAAGTTTCATCGCCCTCTCCCTCTCCTGACGCTTCATCTCTTGCGTGCTCGGAGACTTCTCGCGGACTCAGACCATACCAGGCCACGAACAGCGTACCTGTGATTCCGACAATGCAGCTGATAATAAAGGCCACGATACCCTTGGTGGTAAATCTAGATATGCCTGTTAGTTAAGATTCTAAAACGGCACGGACTTTCTTGAAATCGAAAGGAGTACTCACCCTGCAGGCAGAGGAGGCGGAGGAGCATTCTGGCCCGTCAAATCCAACAAGTTGTCCTTGTTGCCGGCAGCGTTGCCAGCGAACGGCAAACCCGCAGCCTTACAGTTGTCCAGGTGACTGGCAGGCAGCTCGATGGTCTTCTGAAGCTCCAGGGGCGCCTCGACAAACGTGGCAAGCAGGCCGGAAACGATGTGCCATTCGATGTGGCAGTGGAAAAGCCAGACACCGGGGTTGTTTGCCTTGAATCGGAGCACGACGTTGCCATTGCCCTCGACGACGATTGTGTCACGACGCATGGGCGTTGAAGGGAAGGCGAGATGCATGGTATTCGATTCGGCGAACTCGCCTCCGTCCTCGTCGCTGCGGTGGATGACCTGGAAGTGGTGCCCGTGAAGATGGAATGGGTGGCGGCCGTCGTCGTGATTGTTGATCACGATTTGCACGATTTGATCCTTCTCCAGGACGAACGAGTTGGTGTATTCTCCGTAGACCTTGGGATTGGTGGCAAGTTCGCCAGCGGTGAGGGCGGTGTAAAGACTGGGGACCTTGGGCTCGCGGTACGTGTTGTTGTTGAAGAAGGCGTAGTTGGCGCCGTCTCCGAGGTTGTCCATCTTCACTTCCAGCTCGACGGTTCGATCCGGTTCTGGGAGAAGCTCCATGCTATCATAGGGTGATAATTTCATGTCATCGGCTGGCTCAAATTCAGACACCAGAGCTGGCTTAGGAAGGTCCTTTGACTTGTCGTAAACGAGCCAGCTTGTTACGTTCCAGTCCAAGTCATCAGGCAGGACATCGAAAAGGGACTATTCTGGTTAGTTGTGCTCCATGTTGTATCACGAGATCCGACTCACAGTATCCATGCTTCCCACAACAGCAAAATTGCTATGGGCATCGTCCTTGGTCGTCACCAAGACACTGTAGCGCTGCGCGGCAGACAAGTAGATCATGTCTGTCTCGTAAGGCTTGGTGTAAACGCCGTCGACCTCGACAATCTTCATGGTGTGGCCTTCGATCCAGAAGTACTGCCCAGCAAATGCACCGATATTGACCAAACGAAGCAGGTACGTGGTCTTTGGCTTCACGGAGATCTGGAGATTCTGGGTGTCGTTCATAAGGGCAGCCTGGGGAACAGGTTCGGCACCAGTGGGGTTGCCCTTGCTCATAAACTGGGGGATGAGATGGGCCATTTGATCATGGTACCAGTCCGACAGGGTCATGACGATTTCCTCATCATACTTGCCATTGTAGGGAGACTTGGGGTCATGGATGATGAGTGGCCCTCGCAGACCATCTGGGTACTGGCTCTGGGTATGAGAGTGATACCAGTACGTGCCGGGTTGCTCAATCTACATAGCCTTAGGTTAGTACCAGCAATTAGGGAGAACTAACTACCTGCGGACAGCAGCACGACTCACGGTGAAATTGTAGGTAAACGAGCCTCCTGGGGGAATGGGGCACTGGGTGACCTGGGAGGGGCCATCCATGTGGACGGTGCCATTCATGAAGAGGCCGTGGAAGTGCAGCGAGGTCGACTGATTGCCCAGCTGGTTGTGCACATTGATGACGATGTTGTCGCCGACGTTTGCATCGATGCGCGGGATAGGCCACTGGCCGTTGATGCCGATGGCGGTGCGGTCGAAGGCGCCGTCGGGATTGACCGTGACCCAGCCGATATTGAAGTCATGCGACACGGTGGCAGCCTGGGCCAGCAGACACCACAGCTGGCCGGGCACCAGCAGCCAGAAGGCGAGTCGTCGGAGGGGATTCATGATGATTGATGATGATTCCGTTCAGCATCAACTACCAGGACAATGCACGACCGACCATCAGGTAGGGCGAGGGGAGAAGGGGGGGTGGAAAGCGGTCGTCAAAATAAAATAAAATAGAATAAAATCGAAACGGGCAGCTGGCTCGGTCCTGCGCGGTTTTCGGCGGCGCGTGACAAAAATTGATACGAACTTATCAGATCCGATTGATAATTCCAGACACGATCCTGGTCCCAGCTTCCTCTTTGATTGGCCTGAGCTGCTCACGAGGGATTTTTAGCGGAAAACCACGTGTATGAAGATCTCGGCAAACGAGGCAGAAATCCGATTACGGCGAGAGAAAAAAAACACACTTCTCTTCTTCCTGCTAGAGATCGCTGGTGGATCGTTATTTTATTATTTCTTCCCTTCTCCTCTCTGCTTCGTTCGTTCTTGGTGGTGAGCGGGCGAACGATCCTCCCTTCTCCCTTCTCCCTCTACCCGAAGCTATGGCGTCGAATTTTATCTCGGTCCCAGTCTTTCTGGTTATCTTCCGAGAGACACTAGAGACGGCCATCATTGTCTCTGTGCTGCTGGCGTTTTTGAAGCAAACCCTGGGCGGGCCAGATCAGGATGCGGCAATCTACAGATCTCTGTGCAAACAGGTAAGAAATCACGATTGGCAATATTCTCATATTTTTGTCATTTTATTCTCCGGTCGCATGCCAAATTTACATGTGAATGAACGACCGCTCACTGCTTCCATCAGGTCTGGCTGGGCACCGCCGTCGGCTTCCTGATATGCCTGTGCATCGCCGGCACAATCGTCAGCATCTTCTACATCTACGGCCGCGACGCCTGGGCGGCCCACGAGTACTACTACGAGGGCGCCTTCTCGCTCTTCGCCGCCGTCGTCATCTCCGTCATGGGCGTCGCCCTGCTCCGCGTCGGCCAGATGCAGGACAAATGGCGCAACAAGCTCGCCAAGGCACTCCAGGCGCCGATTCAGGCCGACTCGGGCAAGGGCTGGCTGAAGCGCCTGGCGGAGAAGTACGCGCTCTTCTTCCTGCCCTTCATCACGATCCTGCGCGAGGGCATCGAGGGCATCGTCTTCGTGGCCGGCCTCTCCTTCTCGGCGCCGCCCGCCGCCATCCCCTTCTCCGCGCTGGCCGGTCTGGCGTTTGGTGTCGCTGTGGGATATGCGATTTTCAAGGGCGGCTCGGTGATGCAGATCCGCCTGTTCCTCGTCATTTCGACGTGCTTCCTGTACCTGGTCGCCGCCGGGCTCTTCTCTCGCGCCATCTGGTACTTTGAGACGCAGGAGTGGAACATCATCGTGGGCGGCGACGCGGCTGAGCTTGGCGACGGCCCTGGATCCTACGACATTGACCGCAGCCTTTGGCACGTCAACGTGAGTATTTTGTCGCTACTTCCTTCATCAATCAAGCTCAGGTGTAAACTAACTCATCGCAGTGCTGCAGCCCCGAGGTGAATGGCGGTGGCATCTGGGCGGTTTTGAACGCTGTTCTGGGATGGACCAACTCGGCGACTTACGGCTCCGTCATTGCGTACAACGCGTACTGGGTGTGTGTCATGGTTGGCCTCGTCACGCTGCGATTCCGTGAGAGGAATGGCCGTCTGCCTTTCATGGCTGCCAAGAAGGCTGCATCCAATCCAGACCGTGGCACGGAGAGAGAGGCTGCACCGCTGTTGGATGCAGGTGCAGAATAGAAGAGATGGCCAAGGTTGATGGTCTGTTCATCGCAGTTCGCACGCGCCCTGAACATGGATCTGTTCAAGGCGACCAGGCCAAATATGTTTATATACCCAATTCGCCTGTGCATAAGATTTAGAATGTCGGTCTTGACTTGGCCTTGACACATCAGCATATCATTTGATGATGGTCAATTCAACAGCAACTTGGACCTGATCGGGTAGAAAGAAATGCCCCAACACGAAATAATCAGCAATGCGCCTCGTTGCCACGGCATCATCGGTCATGCCACTTCTCACAACCATCGTTTCACTTGTAGCCAGCTCAGCGCCTCAATGGCCAATTGTTACAGCGCCCCCAAGTAGTACTACCGGTGACACATCCCTGCCAGATGAGCACAGCGCAAGTACCTGGTCTCAACAGCAGATAATCGTAAATGTAAACCCGACCTATGACGATATCATATTCTCATCCATTCTCCTGGCTCTATATCTATTCCAGGTTCCTGTAGCAACTTGGACTGACCGACTCTGTGACAGCCTGACTGACACGTGTAACGGCGAAGAAAGGTGTGGGTGTGGACGGCCCTTGGTAAGAACAGGGAAGATGGCATGGTCCGCCCGTATATTGTCACCTCATTTTCCCCCCTAATCCCTAATGCCTCCCTAAAACCGTCCCGTCGACCTTGGCCTTTCCCATCTCTCACCAAATGTTGAAGGAAAGGGGGAGCATTCACTCACACACAGCAGACGCAGCATGACTCTGTCCTTCACTGACATCTTCCGCGGCAGATCCAGAAGGGTTGCAAAGGATCTCGAGCCACGCACACGCTCCCGCCAGACCAGCGCCTCGTCCCGCGACCGGGCCAATTTGCCACCTACAGAAAACTCCACCAGGCCGCCATCCTCCTGCAGCATCGTCCCGCCTGTCTTCGAGGCGGGCAAGACTGGCTTATTCATCACCCATCCGGCAGATCAGTCGGGTTGCACCGATGCTCGAGCAGATGCCGAGTACGCCGTCCTCCTGTCTCCATCTGCGCCAAGAGCGCCGCCTGTTAGAGGAGTTGTTGCTGACTTTGAAGTAGCATCGTCGCCGTTCACGGGCTTGGGGGATCCATCAACAGAACATGGGGTGAGACCCGCAGCTCTCTGGAGCGCCTTCTTCCAAGCTCCTTGCCCAGCTCGCGGTTCTTAGCATATGGCTATGACTCTGCTTTGGCCTTTTCCAAGCCTTCGTCGGGGCTGGACAATTGCGCCACTGACCTCCTTTTGCGCCTGAGAGCCATTAGGAAACGCACGCAGGTGAAGTTCACCTCCAAAACTAAGTCTGGCCTTCCGTCATCTAACTTGTGTGATAATAGGCAGGAAAAAGACCACTAATTTTCATCGCACACGACCTGGGCGGTGTCGTTGTGAAAAAGGTACAGTCAGATCCCATTCTACCAACCATCGTTCCACGCATGATTCACATGCTAACTTGTCTCTCAGGCGCTCATTCTGGCCGAGGGCGATCCTCAAAAGTACTGGAACATAACCAAATATGTCAAGGGTATCGTTTTCATAGGCACGCCGCACCGCGACTCTGTGGAAGAGCCGTTGGCAAACATACTCCAGCATTTGGTTAGCCAGGCTAGGCTCAGACAAGGGATGAGAGACTCCATAGTTCGCAACCTAAATCAGAATATCGACATCATTTCAGATGCATCTCGTCGATTCCTCCCTCTGACCCCTTGTCTGAGCATTGTCAGCTTCTACCAAGAGCACGCCGAGGCGTCTGTAATGGTGCCCAAGTTTGCAGCTACTCTCGGTATAATCGATGAGAAGACCCATTCAAGGCACTCGGAACGCCATGATGAGATGTGCCATTTCAGCTCTAGCCAGAGCCCGGAATATCTGCATCTCACTGACGCCGTCAAACACATCATCATAGAAGAGGAAGCCAGCCATGACTCGGGACTACTAGGCTTGGACCTTCTTCCAACGAGGCACAATTCTCTTCGCCGCCGTGGGTCGCGACTTATGAACCGGCTCAGCAAGAAGCTCTCTGAGTCCACCTTGAAGATCTCAGCAGAAAATCCAGGACGCTTCCTTCACTTCTACCGAGACGGGGAGAGTTCACGGCCCCCTTCAGCTGCGGTGTCTACAAGGAGCGCTGCGAATCCTGAAATTACAGTGAGATTTAACGGCCTGCGCAGACTGTCTATGGATACCGAATCGGATGAGACATTCACTGAGGTGCTACAACTCCCCAAAACCACTTTAATCAAGGATCTCGGGGGTATACTCCGCGCCAGGATTCCAGGTAAAAACTTCCGCCCCTCTAACCCAGTAAGATTCCATTAGCTAACCCATCTCCTACCTGCAGATATTGACCTGACAGGAGGATGCCGAGATATCAAGAGATACAAGCACATCGACCCTGCACAAGTCGATTCCGAATGGGCCAGATTCGAAGCATTCGGGCACGAGGTCAAAGTCACATGGCTGGACGTGTTTACGACACCCGTGATGGTCACAGAAGGAAGCTCCTGCTACGATAAATCCCGAGGCCTCAAGATCAACCATCGCCAGACAATCAGCTCGTATCTCAGCCAGCTTTATCCAAGCCCCGTTGAAGCCAGAATAGACGCCGTCCACGCCGATGGGACCAGACAGCCATTCACCCTCGGCAGTCCCAGCAGTGCCATCGTCGCCGGCCAAAACGGCACTCCCGACCTGCGGATTTCTCTTCGCAGAAAAATCGGCAAAGGCGAAGGTGAGAGGCTTGCGGATCTCCCTTTTGGTCTTCAGAGATTCCCGATTTTCGACGTGAAGCCCTTCCGTGACCGCCTTCCAGCTTCCGTGGTCGCACAAGGCGGCGCTTTCGTCCCGGTCAACTGTATGTTCCTTAACCAGATTCCCGCAAGAGACAGTAACTAATCTATGTGTAGCCGAAATCGAAACGGTGAAGTTTGGGTTCCAGTGCAACGCATCCAAGAGGTTCCTCATCCGCTTCCTCGTCAAAGGCGAAGGCGCAGTGGCAGGCGAGCTGGCCGTGAGTGATCAAGGCCTCGACGTAATCAGCTGGAACAAGAACATATCCCACGACAGGAGCGCACTGATCCCCGACCCAGATTGGTTCGGTACCGAACAAGCGGTGCCGGAAATCACTTGCTCCTCTTTCAATGATGAGAGAGATTCCGGGTTTTCATCTCAGGACTCCGAGGAGGACAGCATATCGCAAGACAAAGTCGAGCAACAAAAACCCAACCAAGTCCATCTGCAAATCATCCCCAAGCTGGATGTTGGGTATCACTACGCATGCACGACCA